GTGTGTCTCAAGGACTTCCCCAAAGCCTAGATTTTGCTGACTGCAACTCCATGGTATCATTTCATTTGTTTCCCTGATTTCTGTTTCCTGTGAACTGGTAGTTAGAGCTAGAGGCTTGATGAGATTCAGGTTCAAGTTCAATTTTTTGGCAAGAATACTTACTAGGTTGTATTGTGAACTTTCATTGACAGCAATCTAATGTCTGGCTCTCTCCCTCTCTGTGATGTTAGCAGCCACTAACGATCTTTACTTAGGTCCAGGAATTCACTCCTTTTTCATTTATCAAACAGAATAATCCTCAAAAAAGAAACTTCCTCTCCTCAACTACTTGGTTACATTCAGATACAGCTGGCTCCTTAGCATACTCCAAAGAAAATTAATGAGGTGTTTTTTTTTAACTATCATTGTGAACTCATGGATTTAAACATATTTGATGTGATTGATTATACTGCAGTTATACTTACTGATGCTCAAAATGTCTCATCTTTGGCCAGCCAGAGCCTATTCAATTAAGCAGCTTTGTTGTTTTGCCACACCCTGTTAGTGTTTGATAACCTCCTTGCAAAGATTTCAAGTCTCCAGCTCTGGAATCATCTTTAGCCATAAGCTGCCGCTTTCCATATTCAACTAGTTTCTTTCTTATTCTGCATTTCTACTAAATTAAAAATCACTAATTCTCAATGATAAATCAGCTGTGTTATATACTCTGGATATTACAACTGAACATGGACCCAGAAATTTTAACACTATTTCTCACTGAAGTCTACTTTCAGCATTCCATTGAATAAAAAAACAAACAGAAAAAGCATATCCCACTCAAAACTAGATTTTAAATGCTTTAATTTGAAAGACAGGAGCAAAAAGATTCCTAATCTATTCTCTGCTGGCATTTTGGCTCTGGAAAGTACTTTTTCATGTTCTATTCCAAAAATTGAGGACGGTTTTTAAAAATGCACAATAAAAATTCACTGTTTTTTTCTTTGATAAATTGATAAAATCATCAAGTATGGGGGAAATGCTCAAACTCTTAAAGGTTGAATTATTTAGTACCGTAATTCAGACTTCTGTAAAATCCTCATACCTCATCCTGAACATTAAAATTCATGATAACTGTGAATATGAACTTATAAATTCTGACTATTTGAAATACCAAATATATTTACTATGCTGTGCCCCCTTGAAATCACAGAAATGGCATTATCAGTATTAAAGAAATATTTATCTTATTTTACTAAAAAACTAAGTAAACATCTAAAGCCCTGTCACATTAGAGCTAGCTAGCATGCATCACTGTGAAAAAGCAGGATCCTATACTTATCATTTCTTCACAAAACACTGAAAAGACATGGCTTTAGTGCTCAAAAATTGTTTACATCCATAATTTTTACCACTTTGATATTAAATCACAATCAGAAATCACATTACTGAAGGGGTGCCTGGGTGGCTCAGTCGCTTGGGCATCAACTTTTGATTTTGGCTCAGGTCATGATCTCAGGGTCCTAAGATCTAGCCCCCCAGCAGGCTCCACGCTGAACATGGAGTCTGCTTGGAATTTTCTCTCTCTCCCTCTCCCCCTCCCCCTGCTTGTGCCCTCTCTCAATCAATCAATAGATCTTAAAAAAAAAAAATCACATTACTGAATGCCAATTTTCCCTGAAAAAAGCAGATATGAATTGATACCCTGGTGCAATTTCTTTTCCTCACAGATTAAGTGAACCCTTTCCTGCAGCTAACCTTTTGAGGCTTTGATCACAGGAACCAATGCAACTTTTCCAGGCAACACTGGCTTTAAACAAAGGCCACCAAACACCACCACCAACAACAACAAAACAAAATAACAACAAAAAACTCTCTGCTGCAGTAAGGATTTTTCAGTGATAAACAGTAACACATCTCTATGAAGTGCTGGTATGCTCTCTGAACATCAGTGCTTTCATCCAACTGAAAAACAAAATTCTGCTAGCATGCACACATGACAGTAATTGCTTTTCCAGATGGTATGCCTTTGATAAGGGATTTTTGCCAAAAGCTCATTTTACTTTCTCTCCAAGCATAATATTTGCCATTAACTTTGAAACTGGTTTTACAAGCTTCTCACTAGTAGTGTGAGTTGACCTGTTTTTTGCTATGAGAAGGATAACTGTGAATGATACTTCAGTAGTGTGGTCTCCTCTGTCTTTAGCAACAACATTCATTAATCTCACACTGAGAAGCATTATTTTATATAATTTATACACATTTCACTTTTCATCACAAGTCTAAAAAGTAATATTTCTAAGACAGAAATATTAATTCAATTCCCCAGGGTGGCATGGAAGTAGAAGAGCCAAAGCTTGTGCTCTTTCCATCATGCCACAGAGAAAACTGTAGCAAGGGAATACCAATTCCCTTAATATACCTTATTGACATTTATTTTCAAATGTTTTCTTGAGTCCAAATAAAGTATTTTTTAAAGGTACCATTTTAACTTAATGTAAACTGTAATCTAAGACATAACCTTATACATGTTCTAGGGCCATAATTCAGATACTGATTTTATTTTGTTTTGATCCTCCTCAAAAAAAACAAAACTCCCACAATCTCAAAATCTAAAGTCCCCTCAAAAAAAAAAAAATTACAAGAAAATACTGTCAAAATGTATCATATAAAACTTCTGAGCAAAAGCTTGTGAAATTTTCATTATTTTTCATTTTCAAAGGGGAAAATGAAAAATATTAAAGAAGGATATCATGTGCCAATGGTTGTAAATGAGTGAGGAGATATAAGAAATTGATGAATCAGAGATATCCTCATTTAAAGAATTAAGCAAATAAATTTAACTATATAGCACTTTCACAAGTAGAACCATAAATAGTTAACAGCCACAACCAAGTAGTCAGCAAATTGATCAGAACTTCCTATTCCCTAAGCTTAACTTTTGTTCAGATCTGAACGTAGTACCATATTACTTAGAAAAGGCTTCCAAAATTTGATTTTATGTGCTCGTTTTGTGACTGTTTTTAAATGGTTTTCAGATGAGTGTATTCAGCTTCCCTGCCCCAAGAGTAAACATTTGAAGTGAAAGATTTCTTCAACTTCATTTATAATGAAGTTATAGAATAATTTATATTCTTCCCCATATCTAGAACCATGAAGTTACAGAGTAATTTATATTCTTCCCCATACCTAGAATCATTCTTTGCAAAGCTTGGACATTCAACTAATGTTGATAATGTTGTTAAACATCAGTTGAAAGAAAGAAGAAAAGACATCTTTAAAAAACAAGGGAAATGGTTCTGATAACAAGATACATTATATATTTAATTATTATTACCTTTTGATTCAAAATGACACCAAAAAATTTTTAGAGAAGTACAATATATCTACTAGCTGCCAAGAACAGTTTTAAAACTTCTCATCAAAGCAACCGAATTCTTCTTCATCTGCTATTTGATTTGAGGTAACTTTTCTTTCACAAACATTGCTCAGTTACACCACCCCTTTAGAAGGTAGCCATATAACTAACGCAGTCTTAGAATTTTCTAATATTATGGATTTATTATTTTAGAATTTATTGCTTTACATATTCTTCCAAAATAGAAAATGAAATGAATAATCCTTGCAATAAGTGATACATTTTTCTCAGATTTTCTTCTTTGTAATCTAGCAAAATTAATCTACAAACCTCTACAACGTATACAGAGAACCAACCAACTTTGACCTGCCCTTTAAAATAATTATTTTCCGGGCGCCTGGGTGGCTCAGTTGGTTAAGCGACTGCCTTCGGCTCAGGTCATGATCCTGGAGTCCCGGGATCGAGTCCCGCATCGGGCTCCCTGCTC